ACTAAATTCGGTATAGTAAGGGTTTTTTTATATTTAAAAATCTGTCCAACACTGAAAATCCGTTGTATTGTAAAATTCGTTATATCAAAATTCGTTGTAAAAAGAGTTGACTGTAGATATGATCTAAGGTATTTTTTCAGAAAACATAAATATTTATATAATCTTTGCCATTGCTATCTTTTTTTTTCGCAAATATCTAATACAATCAGGAGACAATAACCCTAAAAGAACAGTTTTAATATTAAGCAATGAACTTCAAAAAATGTGTATAGAAGCTGAATAGAGAAATAATGTGACATTTCAAGATAAGTCATGCGTTATTGAGAAAGAAAAAATATCACGTTATGCATATATACTTATCTGTATTAAACTGTGTCTTATTTTTTCTAGCCAGATCAAACTGATTCTCTTTTATAAGTCACATTTTCATAAGATAGTGTTCTGAATATACAAATGAATATAAAATGTACTGGATTAAATTTATAGCTTTTTTTTAATAATAGGAGGAAAAGAAAAGCTCATTTACTAACACAATTGTATAATATTTTATCAATTGAAATTGAACTTAGTGCTAGCATATTAGCTAGTTTTTATTATTATCAAAAATCACTAAGAAGAACTTCTATGGATAAAATTATCGAATAGGTTGAAAAGAAGGAAAATAAGAAATCAGTTAGTTTTTTTGATAATAACAGTAGTAACAATAGTAGCAGTAGCAATGACATTAGAGAAAGTATCAGTGAAGGTAATATTGTAAAATAATTTAATGTAAAGACTCACATTAAAATAGCATAGGATTCTTGTATTCTATCTCTCAATGATAGCATTAAATATTTTACATATCTTTTAATTTAATCATTTACAAAAAAAACAATAATAAAGTTATCAACATTTTGGGCTTAATTTATTTATATATATATAAAAACAATTATTAAAACTTTTTATTATTTTATAATATAATTAACACAAAATATAACTAATTTAATGTTACATTTATACATTATCACCTTGCAATAACAGAGTTTTATCAACTTGATCACAATATTTAATAGTAAAACTGTTGTAATTATCTGAGTAGCACATATACCAAAAGTTTTGTTTTAGATTCCTTACTTCTTTTGAATGACAATGAAAGTCAAGAACAGTTCATTTTTTTAATAGAATATTAAAATATGTACAAATCAATTTGCATGTTCCTGCAACTTATTGCCTTCTCGTAATAACTCAATTCTCCAAGAATGAAATCCATTAATGTAAAAATTTAAAAATCCTAAAGAGTCAAATACTGGATCTACATCAGCGCTAACTGTTGTATCCATTAGTACTATAGTTGTTACGCTGCAATACTACTCCATCTGTCAGGTTCTTTTGAATAAATATGAATTACCCTTTTCTTAAGTAAATTAATTAATTTAGTTAGACAAAAATGCTTAATTGTTCAAATTAAAAGTCTTCAAAACTTGTTGTAGGTAATTTTGCAAGAGAAGAGAGAGGTAAAGAGACGATAGCTTAAAATAATTTGTATGATAGAGATAGAAATTTTCACATTTCCATTAGTAGAATCTGTTGCAAAGACACCTGATTTTATAAATCTTTTAGTAATTCTAAAAGAATCATTATCAAAGGAGTGAAAATTATTATCTTGACAAATAAATAGCATTTTACAAATGAATTCAGCCTTATCTCAATTTAAATGCCAGTTCTTAATCTAATAAAAATATGAAAAGTCAATATTATATTAATTCGTAAACTTGATAAGACAAGAAACTGCAAAATTTCTTCTGTTGGTGTAGTCTTTACATCTTCACAAAAATGATCACATAACCATCTCAAAATGAATTGATATAAGTCAGAATACCCATTAATAATATTAAAAATCACATTTATAACATCCTCAGAAATATTAAAATAACTTTATATATCATATTTCTGAATAAAGTTTATGACAAGTATATCAACTTCTTTTCGTGTTAAAAGTGGATCACTCAGATTAAGAAAATAATCAAATTCTACAGGTGTTAGGTTATCAGCAAGTATTGGATAGTATGTATTAAGGAAAAGTATTCATAGATTTTTATTATAACCAATATTTAACTGAAGATTCTTCACTTTCTGCCAAAAATATCAAGCATGATTATCAATATAAATTGTAACTTATTAACAAACAAGTATGTATTCTCTGTGCAATTGCTAATATCATTCCAAGTACGCTTAACCTTACTTATCCAAAAATTATCAAAGTCTTTCCTTTTGATTTCTTCATCTTCACATAAAATACTGGCCATACTAATGTATAGACTATTATAATAATCTCAGAAATACTTGCTAAGCGTACTTTTTCCTGATGAAAGGAGGCTACGCAAAATGCTAATTCAGTTATTTTCTATATAATTAGTGAAAGTTTCTTTTCTATCAGCTAATAGAACTATAAGTTTATCATAATCTTCAGTTATTTTGGAATACTCCCATTTCTCTCTCTTATTTCTTTGGCTTTTATTGTATAAATTTCCTGCTTTCCTTTTCCCTAATCAAATAAAAAAAAATATAGAATAATATGTGAGATAACGTGAATTTCTTATTTGAAAGGTAAACCATTAGAAGACACTTATCAGTAGTGGTGAACTTTAGTGGTTGCACAATTATGTAAATTAAAGATAGTGGTTTATCAAAGTTTTTTAAATATTTTGAAATTTTGTCTTCTGATAATATTTCTTTTTCTTCAAGATCTTGTTCAATATTAATTGTATCAAACCTTTCATTAAGTATCATCAGTTTATCATTTTCACTATCAAAAGGAATATCAACTTTCCATAATATGAAGTCATTTTCGTCAATACTTTTACTAGAAAAATATTTTTCTTCTTATTATAGAAAGCATTTCTGAGTATTATGACGCATTCTAAGAAATCAAATTTAACAAAATCAAGTTTTTTTTCAATGGGAACTTCATCTAGAACGAGATAATATACTATAGTATATCTGCAATTATAAATATCAAGAGTTAAAAATGAGAGTCAAAAAAGTAATTTTTCAGTATAACATAATTAAAAGACCTTATGAGTATAATAATAGATCTAGTAAGTATAGAATTTTTCTTAATTTTAATTTGTATCTAGAATGGCAAAAGTACTTAAAATAGTAAAGAATAGCTTGATATTTTGAATATATTTCATATATATATATGTTTTCATAAATAGTTATTGACTAATTACTATAGACTGTAAGCTAGCGAATTTAGTGAATTTCATAGTAATTTAAACTTATTTGATTAAAATTTTTGAGCAACCAATGGTATTAGTGATTTATGTCTGATTAGATTACATTAACTAATAGAATTTGCCAATTGATCAGGTTTGAACTAGCTTAATATTTCAATACAAAATTATGAAAAAAATTATCTAAGTCATATATCACATTGTTATATAAGAGTATCGATTAGTTATCAGCGAAGCTAATATTTCAGATAAAGACATTATACAATTTAGATATAAATATTTTAGCTATGACTGTGCATTTGTAAGAAAGCGACTTCAAAGCTTGCAAAGCTAATATTTATTTTTTATTCAGAAATTTCAAAATCTTATTAGATAAAGAATATAAATTTTCAGTGAGGTTTACTAAGGCCAATACTGTTAATTTATTTCTAATCTGCATGTTTTACATATAACTGATAATCATTTTATTCTATCTGAAATATCAATGTTATGATAAATAAAATCAGATTAGAGTTAATGTTTGGATATTATATTAGTACAGATAGCTTAGATAAGCATTAGTATAAGACTACTATTTTACTTTATAAACAAGTCTATATATCATCAAATTATGTAATTTATTTTTTGTATCAATAAAGAATTTGAGCCAAAAATACTATACATTGTATCAAATATATTTTTTCATGAAATATAAAGACATATGGTGAATAAAAAAAGTGAGACCTAAAGTCTCACTTGAGTAAAATACATTTTAAATAAATTGTGTTCTATATAAAAGGTATTATCAAATATGCAATCTAAACTTGATTCATTAAAATAACCCATCGTTAAGCTTCTAGCTGAAAATTCTGATATTAAGGCTAAGAATGTTGAGGTTAAAGTTAAAAATACTAAATTAAAGTATACTATAGAAGAGAATAAGGTAAGATTCATAAAACTAAAACTAAGCGATAAAGAAAAGGCTAAGTTCATTGCAAAACTAAATTGTAATGTCAGGAAAATCAAGTAGGAGCAAATTACTATTAATATTTTAGTGCAAGATAGAACATTCATGGTAAAATCTCCTACTCATTCAGAATTACAGGTGACTTTCTAATTATTCATTTCACTACTTATTGAGAATAACTCTGAGAATAACTTTGATGTAACTCAACCTATTTATGCAGAGTCTAAATTATTAGAGGATAAATAAACTGATAAATTCCTAATTTTGATAAGTAAGAAAGAGGTTAGTGATATAATGAGATAACATAATAGAGAGAAAAAACTTTTGTATGAATCAACACATTTAAGCTAAAGTCAGGATAAGCCTCTAATTTCTCAGAATAATTCCTTTATACCTCTAGAAGATTCTGCAGAAATTGAAACTAATATAAGCAGTTTGCAATCATCAATCAAATTAAGTATTTACAGAGCAAGAGTAACTCAAGTACTACCTAAGGATACAAAAGTTTTTTATGATTATATAGTAGTTTAAGATTTTATACAAGAAGTGTCTTCAGAGTTGATAGATGAAAATAATATCCAAATTATTGATGAAAATCAAGAGCTTACAACTGACATGACAATAGAAGTTGAGCTTGCTCATATATTTTTAGAAGTAAGTATTAAAGGGAAGAATACTATACAGGCTAAGCAAAAAGAAATTTCATGTCACTATTCATATAGAAAAAAGTTTAAAAAAGACGTTCAAAAAATTATTGCTAAAGATAATATTTCAGACCAGACAGTAAGAAAATAATTATTCTAAAATATAATAAAGTATTTTTCTAGAATAATATTAAAAATATTACATAAAGGGTTATAAAGATCTACAAACTATTTGAAAAATAGGAGTAGATAAAATTAAGAGTATTAAGTCTTATAGCACAAATTCTATTTCAAAGTTTACTAAGCCTCAAATTCAAATTATTCTAGATTATTTCAATGGATTTGGCTATGCTGATATAGAGCTAAAAAAGCCTAATTCATATTCTGTAAGCAAAAATATAGAAAAAGTGAGACCTAAAATCTCATTCAAGAAAAGTCAAGGGTCTGTTCTAAAAAAATTACTAGATGTTAGAGTAAGCACTCTACTTACATCTCAAACTTTAAAAACCAATCAGACTAATGTATTAGAGGTACAAGAGCAGGATTAACAATTATAAGATAATCTATATCTGATTAAGAGCAAGCAATATATTATACTATTATTTTAATTTATATCTATCTGACCTTAAAATAAATGTATTATAGATGGATTTGTAAAATTTTGATCAGGTTAAGATTAACATTTAAATTCTTTTAATTTAAAAAATTGCTAATTACTTAAATAAAAATTCAAACTTCTATTATATCTTTTTTAATAATAATTTTTTTTTAAATTTAAATATCTCAATAATTATTATTTTATACTTTTTTTCATTGACTGCTTAATTTTGTTAAAAGTTATTTTTTAAATAATATTTATTTTTTTTATTCTTTTTAATAAATTCAAATAAATTATGAATTGTTTAAGCTGAATACCTTAAACAGTAATTTTAAGAAATAATAAGAAGAAGTAAGTAGATAGAAGAGTATAAGAATCTCTAATCAAACTTTTAGAGTATATATTTTTTTATTTTATTTATTTATTTTTTTTCATTTTAAAATAATCTATTTATGAAAAAATATATAAAACTTTATATCTTATATTTTCTCAATGTAGAGAAAATAATGTGAAGTCTAAATTATTTATAGTCAAGCATTATTATTCAAAATATAATAGATTTTTTTTATTTTTTTTATTTTTTAAAATGATCTATTTATGAGAAAATATATGAAGCTTTATATTTTATATTTTCTTGATATAGAGAATATAATATGAAGTCCAAATTATTATTGTTATACTAGTTCTTTTTGATCATATATAAATTACCTATGATATTATGATTTAGCAGAAGGTTTTCTTCACATGAAAGTATAAAAATAAAGGTATAAGATAAAAGAAATAAAAATAAATGAGATAATGGGATATAATATGTGCAATTGATTATTTAACAAATAAAAGACTAGTACTACATCTATCAGTATATTTATACTAAATAATTTATTCCTTAAAAATTTATTATAAGACAAGTTCTACTCTCTCTGTATCTCTCTTATAAAACTACTCTTATTTATATGAAAATATATTTTAATAATAAAAAACTAAATAAAGAAAATAAATAAAATAAATAAATAATATAAATAGATAAAATAACAAAAATGACAAAATGTCATTAATGAATTAAAATGATAAAAATGATAATTAGATTACTAAATTTGAAAAATAAGAAATGCAGATTATTTATTTATTTAATAATACAAATACAAATCCTTTTATTATTACATAAAATTGATCATTCTTTTTTTTAATTTTTATAGATCATTTTATATATTATTTTTAGGTATAATATCACTCTTCTTCAAGATTTTACATTCTCGCAAAATATTTTTCACTTTATCAATTAATTTTTTATTATCTTAAAATTAAATTGAAGTTCAAGTTCTATAATCTAATAATTTATGATATTCTTTTAATATTAATAATTTTTTTTCAATTTTAAATTTCAACTGTAATAGTAAAAAAAAAGAAATTTTGTTTTCAAAGATCAAATTTTTTTTAACAAACAAAAATTTTTGTAGAATACATACTGTATTCACGCATAATCAATCAAAAAAGAGTATATAATATTCATACTATCTGCAATTGACCTTATAAATATAGGTTTTTTTAACTTTATATAGGACTAAAATTTGTTAATTTTTGAATTATGAGATTCACAATCCTATATAAATACTTTAATTTTAAGTAATTTTCTAATTAAGATCATATGATAAATTAAATTTCTTAAATATGACTTTTTACATGCTGATCTAATTATTTAAAATCTAAAACTTTTCTCAATCAAAAATTTCTTTTTCTTAATAGTAAATTTCATTGAAAGAATGCTTTCTAATAATCACTCAAAAAATGATCTTCAAAAGAAAGAATTAGTCAAAATAGTCTAAATTAGCTAAAAATCAGATAGCTGATTTTAGGCTAATTTTAATATTATTTATGGCTGATTTGCCATATTTTTTGATTGACACAAATAGGTGCTGATAGATGCTGATCGACTCTAATCAGATATAGCTATTCAGCATCAATTTAGAATTTAAATTCAATCATAAATTAATCTAAAATTAGTCTCAATTCAGTAATAATTCAGATGCTGATAGATGCTAATCAATTTCAATCAGATATAGCCATTTAGAACTTAAATTCAACCATAAATCAGCCTAAAATTGACCTTAATTCAACATCATTTGGCATTAATTCAGAACTTAAATAACATAAATTAGCCTAAAATTAACCTCAATACAATCATTCAACATCAATTCAGAACTTAAATAACCATAAATTAGTCTAAAATTTATCTCAATTCAGCATCATTTAGCATCAATTAGAATTTAAATAACTATAAATTGGCCTAAAATTGGCCTTAATTTGATATCAATTCAGTTAAATAAGCATATAAAATCAATATATTATATTTATTAAATTTATTAAATATTATAATTTTATTAATAATAAAAACCTAATATAATTCACAAAACATAATATAAATATTACCAAAAACTACTGATTAATTTTTTATTTAAAAAATATAAGTAAAAAATGGAAAACCCATGTAAAATAATAAAATATAATTTATTTTTCTCCTAAAATCCCTTATATCATCCTAAATATTTATTATAATAATATTATTATTTTTGAAAAAAAAAAGAATAAAAAATCAGAAAAATCACAAAAATTTAACTTAAGTTTCATCTGATTTTGATAGTTAGAGGTATATTTCTAATATAAAAAGTAAAAAAAATCAAAAAATTAACTAAAATTTAACTTAATTTTCGTTTGATTTGATAGTTAAAGGTATATTTCTATTATAAAAAGTAAAAAAAATCATAAAAATTCAACTTAAGTTTCATTTGATTTTAATGGTTAGAGGTATATTTCTATTATAAAAAGTAAAAAAAATCAGAAAAATTAACTAAAATTCAACTTAATTTTCATCTGATTTGATAGTTAGAAGCATATTTTTATTACAAAAAGTAAAAAAAAATCAGAAAAATTGACTAAAATTCAACTTAATTTTCATTTGACTTGATAGTTAGAGGCATATTTCTATTGTAAAAAGTAAAAAAAATCACAAAAATTCAACTTAAATTTCATTAAATTTTGATGATTAGAGGCATGTTTTTATTATAAAAAGTAAAAAAAAATCAGAAAAATTGATTAAAATGCAAATTTACTACGCTATTTGACATAATATTTTTTGTATTTGATAAATAACAAAATATATGACAACGAATAGTATTCTTCAGTAATATAAATAGTTAAAAACCAATCAACTCTCTTAATTAAGACTTAAACAATAATACAATATTAAGGATTTATCATAAGAAATAGAAGCTAAAGAGATTATTATAAAAATCATATAGTAAAAAATACAACTTAATATGAAATTAAACTCAAAATTAATAAATAATCACCTAATATTTGTAATAAATAATAATAGTTATAGAGAATATCATAAATTTTATATAATTATAATTAAGGATGCTAAATAAAGTCTAGAGGTTTGCAAATCGTCTAAATGGAAAAAGGTAAAAATTAGTGAAATTATATTAAAATCTTATTAAAAAACTGTGAAATTTTAAAAAAGATAAAACTATATTAAAGCTTATAAAAATGTAAAATTATATTAAAACTTGAATAAAAATTAGCAAAACTATAGCTTAGATATTTTGTCAAATTCAAAATGAGTTAGACAAGTAATCTTAACTATAATAAAATAAAATATAACTGTAATCTTAAGATCAATAATAGTCATCAAGTTATTAAAATAATAGAAAAGGTTAAAAAGGATAGCATAAAAGAATATATAATAAGAAAAATAACAAAAAAATAAGAAAGCTTATGCAAAGTGAAAACTAAATAGAAATCAAAAAGAAAAAATGAAAATAGAATAACATATTAAATAGGTTACAACTTCAACCCTGAAATAAGTTACCAAAATAATTCAGAATAACTAAAATAAAACTGATAGTAGAATGACCTTAACAATTTAATGATAAGTAGGTAGTAATTTAATGATAAGTAAATAATAATTTAAAGTAAATAAGTTACAATATAAATATATTGTAATCTACTTATATTTTAAAAAAATATAAAATAAAAATAATTACATATACTTATATTTAAAAACATATTAAATGTAAAAATAATACTCAAAGAATTATTTGTCTATTAATTATTTTTTTATTAATAAATTATCTTTTATATAATTAAATATTCAAGCTATTTATAATAAAATTTTATATTAATTACTAATTTATTATAAAGAATTATATAATATTACTTTATTTATTTTATATAATTTTTTTATTAAAAATAATATTGCAACTAATTGCAATTGTGATAAATAATTATTATAAATTACAATTAATTGCAATACTATTTTTATCTTTTATAATATCATATAATTATTACTTAATTATTTTTTAATAATCTTATAATTTATAATTTGTATATAATATTTAATAAATTATTTTATTATTATTACATTTTCTATATTATAGTTTTCTTTCAAATCTTTTTATATTTTTATTTTATTTTATTATAAGCTAGAATAGCTAGTTCTTAAATAAATAGAATATTGATAAAAAAGCTAATATGCTTTTAATAAACTTTAAAGTTATTATTTATAGACTTGAAAATTTTACTAAGTATATTTATAAAAATAGTTAATTTTTATTTTAATATTTTTCATTATTAAGAATTATAATTAAATGTAATATAATAAATAATTATAAAAAAAATAACTTTAATTATTTATATATATTTATTTGAATTATATTATTATACTAAAAGATTAAAATTTATAAATTTTCTTTTAATAGTTAAATTTTATATATCTAATCTATTTGCAATGAGAATAATCTTGAAAAAATTTATATTTATTAGTTTTAAAGAATTTATATTTAAGTAAAATTAAATAAAAACAGTTAACATCTTTCAAAAGTAAAAAAAAAATATATAAAGGTCAAGAGATTCAACATGAAATGCAAAATACAATCCTATCTGCTTTAACTCAACTGTTTAGATTCAAAAGTAAAGTTATATATTTTATGGAAAAACTGATAATACTCTTTACTTTCTTTAACGTAAGTTTGCTGGGGTATTACATTAACAGAATAGCATAATATCAAGCTAATTGCAACACTCGTGATAAAGAAACAATACGGAGATACCGATTTTTTTATTCTGATTTCTATTATAAGAAATGCATCCTCATTTGATCTGCAAAATCAATCTCCGACTAATTAAAATTTCATTTTCGATCCATTGAGAACGTCCTTAAACTATATTACTGGACTGAGATGGAGATTACTATGCATTTAATAGGTAAAAATATGCAATACTTTGAACGTATACTTAAGATAAAAAGCTAGCTTATAAAAAGGTATTATTCCTAGTCTATTTTGCTAGTAAAAAGAAATACTTAAAGAAATAGCCAAAAAAGGCTTTATTTTAGGAAAGGATTATAAAACAAGTATATTGCGGGAAATATAAAAATAAATAACAAAATAAAATTCATTTTCGGAGAACAATGCTTAAGCTATTATAGATAAACGCAGATCCCAGCCAATTTTTGCGTTAGGTAAATTATGAAACTTGTAAAACAAACAAACGTTCAAAAATGTTATTTTCGGTTATTTCCATTTCTATTGTTCCTATAATAAAACTTAGAGATATAAATACGTTGATTAAAATGTTCCTTGTAAAAACCCTAGAGCTGCGCTCCTCGTTTAAAATCAAAAAAAAAAATTCAAGATGAAGAATTTTTCAGGAATTTATTCATTGTATTTCATATTGATTTTTATTTTATTCATCTATCCATTAAGCATAAATGCCTATAAAACCTCTTCATATAATGAAACCGAACCCGGTTACAAAATTAACCAAATATTAACTTATTTGGATGGAACTTTGATTGTTTTCTTGACCAAACCAATAAATGATACATGTAACGAACCTAGGATTGATTTGCGAGTTATACATCCAAATGGCACAGTTGATAAAGTTAAGGTGGAACACTCGATACCGGATTTTAATTTTTGTCTTGTACCAGACGATATATCTTTACATATTAAGCTTATTCGCAATATACCGGATTCTATCTACGTGTTATATGAAAACTCCTCCGATATAAATTCGGCAAGTTATTATGTGTCACTTTTCACACGCACTGGAAAAATCATTAGGTTTGAATCATTTAATAGTGTATCGTAATAATTTGCGGTTTGATACTTATATAAGTTTGTTTACATTTATAAAGCAATACATTTCTCTCACGGGTGTCCGTCATTGATGGAACATTGTCTTCCTCCGGGGTTATGTATTCTCACGATAACGAAGCAAGTGGCTTTATTTTCTGGAATTATCTAAATGAAACTTTTGTGGATTGGATTTACTTTAGTAAACCGTAAGTTCGTAACATTGATTGCAATTCTCACTTGTCAAATTTAACCATTAATATTATGTTCATTGTTTTTTAGTGATTCCGGTGGAAATTTTCATCCAATAAATAATGGTCACCTTAAAATTCAAAATGCTTCATTAGATTCCTTTACTATATTTTCCACAATCGATGGAGCCTTTGCTATAGTGATTAGTCGTACAAATTTTTTAAGTCAACCTCTTGATGAATCAATTAATCCGGTCAGACCAACATTTCGTCTTTATGTAACTTTCATTAATCCCGATAAAACTGTTGATGGACCTTTCTTGCTTTATCAATCCGCAATACCGAATTTACAAGTTATGTTTCAATGTAGTAAAACATATACTACATTAGGTAATTCTTGCATTTTGAATATGAAAAGGGATGAAGAATATAAATTGATTCGAATAAAATTCCAGAATACAGGGTCGGTAATTTTACAAAAATTAATGAATTGGTTGGTTTCTTCAATAACGTTCGTCTCACTCTCATATTTATTTATAAATACAGTTCTGTTGTTGGTATCGATAAATTTTCTGATTTTGAAATGTATAAAGATTTAAGAGAGACTACAAAATTTAGAAATTTGTTTTATGGAGGGTTCTTAGTACTATTTTTCAATGATTCGGAAGATACTCTTTATAAAACATTTCAATCTATCATTCTTGATGACGAAAGAAATTATTATAGCACTTTGGAGTTTCCAAATAATTTAAAAATTTCTAATCATGCGATGGGAGATTTTCGAAACAACACTTTTGTTATCGCTCACCAAGATGATGAATATACTTGGAAAGTTTATTCAGAAGATTTACCAAGGTTTTTTGATGGTAAGATATCGTAACGACAATCAATGAATATTTTATTTGTTCATTTATATTTATTAACTTCTTTATTTATATATATCTTTTTATTTATTTATTTATTTTGTGATATTAGATAATGGATACAACAACATAAATGTTAATACCACATATCCATTAATTAATTCAAAGATACCATTATCAACGACGAATATTAACATTACATATAACTTTCCAATAATAATATCAACGAATAACATCTCTATTTATCAAGATGGTAGTGGCGGAAAGCCTATATTGCGACAATCGATTCCGGGAAATGCTCCAACATCATTTGTATATAGTGCGGATAATCAATCATTAATTTTAAATGTTTTAGAGAGCACATTCAATCAACCGAATGGTAATTATTACATTGTAATTGACGATAATGCTGTAAAAGATTTTAAAACAGAACAACCTTTAATGGGTATTCAAACTCATACTTGGAAGTTTAATACCAGTAAGTAAATAGTTAATCAGTAAAAAAATTCAAGATTTATTAAAGATTTGTTTAATTAATCTAATTAAATTCTCATTAGCTGATGATTATCAAGAAGTTTTTGCGGGTAATTAATTTATTTTTTTTTCTTTTTTTTAAAAAAAAAATTTTATGCGTTAATAGTTCGTTCTACTTTAACCTTTCAGAGGACGCAACCGGCCGATTTGCCTTAACACCTGAAGGAACAAAAAATTTCGAAAGCCTCCCACCATTTAATAAAACAAGTTATTTATTACAATTAAGAATTGATCTATCAAATTCGATACCCATTGATATTAATAGATTGGATGCAATAATATGTTGTGAATACGACAGAAGTCAACGACCTCCAAGAATTTTATTATCATTACCTATTAAATCGACAACTAAGTTAAATGAGAGAAATGTCGACCGTGTCATAAAAGATTTAGACCTTTTGATTAAAAATAAAAAAGTTACACCAATATCTTGGTTTTATACAACAAATTTTATAGAAGCAAGTTTTGGATTTCAACTTACCCGTAAGTAACTTGAATTATATATAGCCAAAGAAAAGAGTATAATTCCCGTAATTAATCAAATTTATTATTTAAGGAAATGTATTCCAAGATTTTAAATTTCATTTAATTGGTATCGCTATTGGAATAATAATTTTAGTATCACTTTATTTTTATGCCAGAAAAAGAAGTCCTACGGTAAAGTGTTTACTCGTCAACCATAATTTATATTTTTTACTGATTTATTAAATTTTGAATTTTTTATGATATTTTAGGGGAAAAATACCGCCATATTTAAATTTTCCTTGATTTTTTTGGACTTTGTCCTGGATTTTCTGTTCGTTCTGAATGATGGAGCAAAGGTCCCGCAATTGTTTATTCCAAGGTTTGTTAAATCATAAATTATTTTTTTTATTAAATTGTTTGTCCCTAATTTTATTACCTCATTCTTTGTTGATAGTATAGCATTCTGTGCAATACCGTTGGCAATTAATTTCATCATGAGCATAGTCATGATTCTTCGAGAAATTAAAAAAAACAAGGATTTCTACGAATGGTTTAAACAAAATACCAATATGGCATCTCTATTCACTATTTTAGCAAGTACCGATATTGGAGTATTAAATATACTTTCTACTAACGTTGCTGGCATAGCGTTATTTAATGCACCTATATCCAAAGGAACTCAATCTTTAATATTTCTTGTCAGTCATATTGGATTTTTTATTGAAGATATCCCCCAATTTATAATACAGGTTGGTAAAAAAATAAATATTTCTAAAAAAAAAAAAAAAAAAAAAAAAGTAAGCTAATTAAAAAAAAAACATTTTTTCAGGTTCTTTATAAAAATTCGACTGTCACATATGATATTATTCCTTTTCTCACGTTATTAACAAGTTCGATAGTATTGATAACCAGTATAGTTTCTAGAGGATATCATTTAATTATATATTCATGTAAAAATACAATATCTGACGATACTGAAAGCTTCTTACCTATTAATCAAAATATGTCTAGCGAAGACGTAGATGTAATCGAAATTAAAAATCATTTAACCGTTCCGCAAGTAGCCCAAAAGAATTTTAGAAAATCGATGTAAATAATGTAATTTTAAAATATCTTCGTCATAAAATTTTTTACGTTAAAATTGATTTTTAGTATAAAATTTTTCAAAAAAAGAAATATTAATAATTAGATAATTAGTAATTTTAATAAAAGGCCTAAAAATAAAATTTTACATCATAATCTATGCTTAAATTTATAAAATATTTCGTATTTCTTTGAATTTATAGTTTATCAAATGCCCAACTTTTTAATCAAAAGAAAATACTGTATATTAGTTAGAATTAAAGATTTTATTTTTTATTACAAGCATTGATGAGTTTGAATAAGAGAAACTATATTAGAAAATTTTAATAAAATAGTTAATATTAGTAATAACGATATATATTTAACAAAAAGAATTTAAAGAATAAATAAAAAAGAAATTATGAACCATTTGAAAATAATGTAAAGTTAAATTATTTGAAAAATGTAGAATTCATACTATGTAAATGAAATTAAATAATAAAATCAGATTTTAAAATTTTGATAAAATTTATTTAATTTGTTAAAATTATAAGCAAATTTATTTATAATATTATGTACCGTATTTCTCTGAAAATAAGAAATCCCAAAAATAAGCAACTCAAAAAATAAAATAATTCTTGAAAATAAGCAACACATTGAATATTTAACTAGTTTTGTATTAAAACTATATGTAATGTAATAAGAACATTTTAAAAAATTAAATAAAGCTCAAATAAATCAAAAAAAAACAAATTTTATTAATGATTTTTTATAAAATAATTATTTACATTACTATTATAAAATACACATATTAATCGCAAAATTTTAATACAATTAAACATATTAATCACTTCTACCATTAACATTTCGCTGTCATCACTATCATTGCTACTATTATTATTATTACAATCATCACTATCAGTGTTATTATCACCATTATTATTACTATCAATGCTAATTTCTAATTCAAAAACTGATTTGTTTAAATCAGTTAAATTTTTACAAATCTTGAAAGATTCTATGATTGTTTAATCATGGATTGCTTTTAAACAAACTTTATTCATAAAAATACATCATTCAATCTAACACAGTAAAGATTTTTCGCAACAGTTTCTCTAGCATCTAAACTTGCTATTTAAATATATTATTTTTTATGAAACACTTGCCATTTTTTATTTGTTACACTTAATGTAGCAAACTGATATAAAAAATAAGTTTGTAAACTAGTTTACAATACATGTAACATATATTAAATGATTAACGATTACATTGTAATCATATTGATTCAATTTTATAATATAAAAAATTAAACTTTAAACTATATATTAAAAAATTTAACTATCTAAAAATAAGCAATATTATTCCTTAAACTGTAGAGATTTGCAAGCAAATTTGCATTATAAATTTCCTTTTGATTTACTTTTATGAAAAATTATTTTTTTAAAAATATATATAATATTATAGTAAATTTTATTTTTTAATTATATAATAAATAATTTAAAGTTACTTATAAGCTAAAAATTTGTAATTTTTAAAAAAATTATAAATTAAAAAATTTTATTATTATCTTATTAACATTTAATTTAGTAATATTAATTATAATAGAATATTATAAAATTTATTATGAAGAATAACTTTAATTATTTAAATTTTATAATTTATTAAGAAATTTTATGACTTTTATTAATAGTAAAGTAATTCAATTAATTTGTAAATATATGAATTTTAAGAAAATTTTTAAAAAATTATTATAATAAAACTTAATTTTTAAAATTGAATTATTTAAAATACTTTTTAATAAACTTAAAATTTCTTTTAATAAAATTGATAAAATATATATTAAACTATATTTTTATATAATAATTATATTATTAATATTAATATTTTTTTTTTAAAAAATTTAATCCTTTTTTTTATATTCGTAAGCAATTTATCTGCTTTACAATTTAAAGAATAAAAAATTATATTGCTTATTTTTAGAAAAATACAATATTTATACTTATTATAAATAAAATTTAAAATTTAAAAATTTTAATAAAATTATTAAATATAATATAAAATAATATAAATATATATTATATATAATTTTATAGTTTTAGAATAAGTATATATAACATTTAAAAATTTATTAGTATAGAACAAAGTGAAAGACTATATATATAGGATTTAAGGTTATATATATATATCTATCTGTTCACCTACTTAATAATTAAGTTAATGCTAATTGGCTTTTACAATTATATAAAAGTCTAAATAAAAGCAAATATTAGTAGATCATTCTGAACTTAATTACAGTTTTCATTTCCTAGTTTTATTTTATATATTTGTAATATTATATATATATTGTCAATGTTAAAAATTTGTCTTAGAAAAATGATTTACAAAGCCATTAGATTTAATTTTATGTAGATCATATTAAGAAAGATCTTGATCGACGTATTGTATTGGAAAATTATTTAATTTAAAGGATTTACAAAATTCAACTGATTCTCCTGTTTTTCCTGTATTTTCTAAACAGTTTGTTTAATCTGTTTATTTTATTTCATCTGTAATTTCTTTAACGTTTATAATTTATTTTATTTCTTTTTATTATTTTTATTATTTTATTATATTTAAGTATATTTTTATTAGAACATATATCTATATTTAGTTAATTTATAGTGTAGCAAATAGTTAGCTGTAGCAAAGTCATTTTGTATAAATAGAATAGCTTTTTACTTAAGTTGTAAATTAACTCAATTGTAAGTCTATAAACTCAATTGTAAGTCTATAAACTCCTTTGCAAGTTTATAAACTCTTTTGCAAGTTTCAAGTTATAAATAAAGGAATCAATTTAAATCTATGCAAATTACTTTTCCCTTAACGTTGTCTTTCATTTAGAATTGTTGTGATACATTACACTAACTTACTATTGAGTTCATCATTACGAGTTCGATTAATTATATCTTAATTTCTAAGACGTGATAAATTGCTGAGTTGATTCAAGTATAATGAATACCTGTAGAACTTAGAGAAAATCCTAAGGTCAGAAACTCTAATATGTAGAATCAGCTGCTGCAGCCTTTCAACTTAGACGTTAAGATAAATAAAAATGAACCTGTTGACAGTATTTATTTTCAGATCTATATAGTAATATTTTTTAAAATAAAATTTTAAGTTAAAAATTAATAGTATTAATAATATTAATTATAATAAATAATTTTAGTACTATATTTAATTATATTAATATAATTTAATTATAATAAGTTTGCTATTTATTACTATAAGTAAAATTACTGGTAGTTGAGTAATGTAATTTGATAGCTAAGTTATATAATATTTAGAATTTTAGATTGAAGTTAATATTTCAGATTTAAATTTTATTTACTCAAATAATTAAGATAATGTAATGCTAATATAAATAATAAAATTACATTAATTATATGTTAATATGCTAATATTTTTCTAATTTAAGTATTTATTTTGCTATTTTCTTTATTAGCCTTGTGTTTTGCATAACTATAAATATTATATCCTATACTTAAATAATAACTACATTTTTAGATAATAAAGGAGTATATTTCATAATATTTTTTTTTAATGATAATTTGTATCTTTTTAAAGGTCAGCCCTTTAATCTATGATATTCTAGATTAAAAACATTATAATTGTCTTATAAATTATTTAAAATAGTTTAGCTTATTGATTGAACTTCAGTAAATGAATTATAAATTTCTTTTAAACTAAATCTAATACTATTATGAAACTTTATATTAAATTACATAAAAAAAACTTAGAAGTTTTACTGTGATACATTCTAATATTACAATTTGAATACTTGTTTTTACTAATAATATTGTATCATCAAATTAAATTTTCTTGCTAATATTTTCTTTAATAATTAGCATATAAAAATTAATAGGTCTAATTTATTCAATATAATATAATAAAATAGTTGTGTAATCTTTTACTTTTTGAATAATAATAATATTTATTTTAGATAGAATTTAATTAAGCCAATGAGTATAAATGAATGACTGAAGAAAAACATGATATTGATACTTACATGACATACCTTAATTTATGATATTCATACAGATATAAAGTAAAGTTAAATCTTTAAGAATTATAATGTAATAAGTAAAATTGAAGTTATAGTAATATAATAAATTTCTTAAAGATCATTGATAGGTATATTCAATAAAAATTCACATAACTGAATTTTTGATACATTATATTCATATTCAATTATACTATTAAATATTGAATTAGATTCTGTAATCTATATATAAATAAAAAAAATTATAAGCTATTAACTTCATATTTCAATCAAAATAAATTTTCTAACATTAACATTAATCTTTATTCCTGATTCTAACTCTCTTTCTGAACCTAATTCCAACCTTAATTTTACTAACTTTAATTCTAAACTTAATTTAATAATCTTAATCCACTCTAATCTTACTAATCCTAATTCTGATCCTAAACTTAATTCTACTAATCCTAATCCCATCCTAATCTCATTAATTTTAATTCTAATTCTAAATCTAATTTTACTAATTCTAATCCTATTCTAATCTCACTAATCCTAATTTTAAACCTAATTTTACTAATTCAAATCCTATCTTAATTTCACTAAATTTTAATCCTAAATTTAATTTTAACCTAACTCTAATTTAAATAATCCTAACTACTAATCCTAAATTCTAATCTTAACTCTAATTCTAAATTCTAATCTTTAATTCTAATCCTAAGCAATTCCTTTTTAATACAAATAATTTAATACTAAAACTTCTCAAATGCAAATAATTCTATGAAAAATTTTCTAATAAAAATAATTTTAATACAAAAACTTTAAAAACTTACTTGATCAATTTTTATTAAAGATGCTTAATATAATAAAACTGGTTTATTTGTGCATATTAAAAAGATAAGAGAATGTATGCTAAATAGATTTGTAACATTTGATTAATTTCTTTAAATATAGTGTTATAGATTGAAAGAAATCCAATTGATGAGTTTGAGCTATAATAATTTTTAATTCAAGAATATTGTAAATCTTTTTCTAATTCACTTTTAATAACCTTTACTAATTTCTTTAGCAAAATATCATAATCTAAATATTTTTTTTAATATATTATTAATAGATTCAATACATTATGTTAATTCTACTTCTGCAGTAAATATTTTTGCAATTGAATATCTTGTCTAAGAATTACAACTAGAATAAAATTTACTTTTAAAATATTATCGATAAAATTCATATTTTATAAGCATTTCATTATATTTTATTTTAAATTGTGATTTAGTATGACTATTTCATATATGATAAAAATCTCCAATAAAATTTTTAATTATATTATCATGTAATTTAGGCTTAATTTTCTTTTTTTACATTCTCCATAATATAATAAATACATAATAAATATTATATTTATAAATATACAACTTGAATAGCAATATTTATCACTAAGTTTCTATTAGTAAATAGTACTAATATTTAAATTTTGTAACTTCAAGTATGCATTATAAGATGCAAATATAATTAATCTAAGTCTCATATTTGATTAGAACTTAAGCAAAAATTCTTATTTTATAGTTATGATCAATACTAATAAATAAACTAAGAGCTATTTTATAATAATTAGTTTTAACTATATTATCATAAATAATAACATCATAAAGCTATAACCAAAAATCATTTTTCTGGTAACATATTATCTAAAAGAGACCTGTAAGTTCATTAGATAAGTTCTTCAAATATAAAATAATTATATAATTAAGATTATTATTATATTACTTTAAAAGGTAAGAAAATAATGTAACAGTATCAGACTTATCATGAATTTGTATATCACAAAATTTAATTTTATCAATAATATCAAGATTTTTGTAAAGTTTATTAATAATAAAACCATAATATTTTGCATATAATTTTACAATACATTAAACTATATTTAATTATTAAATATATCACTAACATATAACTCATTCATATTAGACTATATAAATATTTCTCTTCTATAACTGAATTGTTATTTTTTTTAGTGATTGAATATATAATATCATTATTTTTTGTATCAAAATATATATCATACTCTTTCATAATAAAATGTGAAATATTACTATCCTTTATAATACTTCTAAAATTATCAGATATTATTAAAGAATATTAAATTTTAATCATATCTAAAAAAAGAATAAAGTGAACAAAGTTAATACTCATTAAAATAACAAGTTTCATAAGAAAAGTTACTTACTTTATAAAAATATATATTGTATTTTTAAGAAAAAAGAAGAATTTCTTTTGTTTACTGTAAAAAAAAAAATTTAATTAGAAAAGTAATAATAGTTTAATTTAATTAAATAAAATTATATAAGTAATATTGCATTCATCACATTTTTATAAGTTATATAATACTGGTGAAAATCACCTGCAGTTAAACGTAGTAATTTTCTAATTATAAAATATTAATATTATTACACAGCCCTATAGGATCATACTGAGTTTATTAGACCAATATTTTTTTATATAAATATTAATAGTTTATTTGTATATAATATTAAGCACTAAAAGTATATCTTTGTATAATATTACTATATAGTAAAAATAGTAAAAATTTAAGAATCTGTAATATAAATTTTCAAATTAATCTGTTGTAAAACTCTATTATTTATTAAATCAAATAAATTACTAATATTTATAGTAATTTCTAAGTTAGAATTACTAGGATCATTTTCTTGTAATGAATCATGTAAATTTTTTGAATCATCTAATTTTGATATTTAACTTTGAGAAATCATAACTAATAAATTATAATTTATTATAATTAAATATTAGTTTAAATAGTGATAAATTGCTAAAATAGTTGCTTTAATTGAAGAAACAGAATATTTATTACTATTTTTCTATTTCATTACTACCAAATATTGTAATAATTGAGAATTCATTGCTTTTATATCAGATATTTTCTCTAGTTTTAGCTCAAAAATTTTTTTATAGCACATATTCAATTATTGGTAAAATATTCAATATTCTTAACTTCTAATTTTGCAAAAAAAAATTAATATTTTTTCCAAATTATCATTTGAAACCTCATTTTAAAAATCATTTCAAATAATATTATTATTGTGTAATATTATAACTTTAACTTATTAAAGTTTTTTC